AGGCTTGTTGCTTTAGATTCAAGAAGAGCTCAACATTGAGATTCCTTAAAAACATATGCACATCTGTTCAGACCAGATTGGCACCAGGAGAATGGGATCCATACTGGGATTTCCCACCAGTTTCCTAAAGTGAAATCAGATTAGCTCTAAGAACTGATTCTATACAACCAAAACAATTAACTACAGTAGTATATCTAGTTTCACACAGATTTTAATTAAGATGGGAACAGTAAGATTTTCGCTCACCTACTCGGTCTAGCAATCAGGTTAGCTTATGGAGGATGTGAGGGATTATATTATCAAAACAGTATAGAATAGGAAATTATTACCACTAAGAAATGTAGGACCTTCTATTTCTAGCCGTGATGTGTATTCAGAAGCAAATTATGTCTCCAAATAAACATTTAGTTTAATGTTTCTATTTCTTACTTCTACAATACATCATTTCCAACCTTGTTATCTTTAGGCTTATTTTACTGAGATCAATTGGTTTTTCCTTCCACATAAATTAGGCAAGGATTTGGGGGTTTGGGAGATTAATACAGCATAACCTCGTTATCCATGGATTCTGTATCCATGGATTCAACAATCCACAACTTGAAAATATTCAAACATAAACCTTGATTTTGCTATTTTGTTAGAAGTGATACTGTTTTACTACACCTTTGTATACAGTATAATGAGACTTGAGCATTCATGGATTTTGGTATCTATGTGATTGAGCAAGGAAAAGCCAAGCCTCACAGATTCAGGGCTATGGCTTCCTTGGTTGAGTCTATGCATCGGGAATGTAATTTTCCTGTTTTTCTAACACTTACCACTCTGGCAAACATTTTAGTCCTGTCTTCTCATGTCATGGCCAAGGTGCAACAGTTGCAGTTAAGTAATTTTGGCTTCTAGGGAGAGTTCAGCTCAATATGTTCTTAGCATGTATCTACGCTGTAGAACTGATGTAGCTTGACACCATTTTAACTGCCATGATTGGATGCTATAGTATCCTAGGATTTATAATTTGACAGAGAAGGCTGAAGACCTTGTAAAACTATCCCCACAATTCCATAGCATTGAGCCATGTCATACTGCATTAATTCTGTAGTGTTGCACATTGGTTTGTCTTTTTAGTAGTCCACAATATTCGTCAAACTCTTCTCAAACACCCCTTTTCAGTTGTCTTTCTACCAGTTTCACTGTCCAGTGATCAGCCACTGCCAGAAGGGATGGAGAGTTTCAACTATGCTGATGATCGTGCCATCACCACTCAAGCAGGGAGCTTTGAAATGGTTGCACAGAAGCTCTCCAAAACTTTAGGTATTCTTACTGCCTTTTACAGAGAAAAACATTGGATTCCTAATTGATCTAAAATGCAGACATGTGCTTTTCATCTTAAGAACAGACAAGCATCTTGAGCCTGGAAGTACCTGGAAGTTACTCTGGACCGTGTTCTGACCTACAAGAATATCAAGCAAAAAGTGGGCGCTATAAACAATGCCATATGAAAGCTGACTGACACAACCTGGGGATTAAAACCAGACAAAGTGAAGACATCTGCCTTTGTGCTTTGCTACTCTGCTACTGAATATGCATACCCAGTATGAAATATATCTCAACACATTAAAACAGTGGATGTGGCTCTTAATGAGACATGCCACATTATCACAGGATATCTACACCCTACACCACTGGAGAAAGCATACTGTTTAGAAAGCAGCAACCTGCAATGAAAGGCCAAAGGCATTAACATCTCCGGCCCATCCTCTGGATATCAGCCAGCAAGCCAACACCTTAAATCAAGATATAGCTTCCTAAGATCTACAGAGATACTCACAGGGACACCTCAGCAAGCAAGAGTCCAAAAGTGGCAGGTTAAAATCCAGAACCTCGATCAGTTACTGATACTGTGAGGGAAACTCCCCCCTGGGCACACAGAAAATTGGGCAATTTGGGAAAGTGCTGAACCACAAGATGCAGAGCTTGTGGCATAATATAAAATAAACCACATGTAGTTCATGTTGATCTGCCAACACACTGCTTTGCCAGAGAAAGAAAATATGTCACACAGATGAACAATAAAGAACAAGTAGTTTACTCTTCTTAGTTCATAACAACATATGTATAGTGTGATCAATTCACATAATGTCCTTTTATAAGATAATTAAAATGGTATTTCTCTGTCCCTATGGATAAACTCCTTCAGCAGCTTATGAAGCGAGAGCACGCAACAAACTCTGTCCCTGACTTTCTCCAAACTGTCTCTCTCTGCACCTGCATAGCTCTAGTCCGAACAAAAATGCAACAGTAACCAAAAGTCCCAGGCTCAGCCATATCTCTGGGCATTGCCTGACCAATCAGCTTCATGCATCTTATTTTACAGTTGGCTCGCATACACTCACTGTACACTCACTGAAGCTTAAGAAATGGGGTTACAAAGTGGAGTCCGCAACATGCAAGTGTGGAGAAGAGCAAAACCACAGACGATGTACAATATAGCCTGAGCCCTGCCACATGCACAGTGGAGGACCTTCTTGCATCAACTGCAGAGGTACTCCAAGTGGCCAGCCTCTAGTCAAAGGAAATTTAGTAAAATGGCAAGTTTTTAACTTTGTTTGTGGTTTTTCTATACATTATAACTGTATTCTCAATTCACTTCTGACACGATAAATAAATAAATCCATACACAAAAATGGGAAATACAACATGGTCAATCCTCTGTATTCAATGATATATCTTTACACTTCCAGATCTTATCTAGCTCCTTCATGGCTGCCCTTTCAATCCCTGGTCTTCTTCAGAAGACCCAAGGCGAAAGACAAGATGGCACCTTCCACCTCCATCCCACATATGGAAATGTGTATTATTCCAATGAGTATAATACTGCAGCATTAAAAAAATAGATGAGGCTTCCTTTCCTAAGAGTGAAGTTTGAGCTCATTACGCAGTGGTTTAATGGTTTCCAGTCAGAATATTACAAGCAGTCCTTGTGGAAAGTTGGAGGAAAACATTATTAAATCAAAAGGCTGCCGTCCACTATGAGGGCGGTAGGAGCATGTTAATTTTAATGCGCTGTCTCCTAGCACAGAAATCCGGGCATTTTCAGCATCATATTTAAAACATGGTACATTGGACGGATACGTGATCTGGGCCACTAATGAGGCAAATTAAGTTACAGGTATGAATTTTACATTGAATGGGATTAATATTATATGGCGTGGAGGAATTTTAAATAACCTATCACCATGAATTTTTAATCGTGGCGTGCTCTAATTTAATGTTGCAAGGCAATTGCTTTTCTTAAGGAGAGGGAGAGAGAGAAAGCCCCATGTTATTCCCCTACATGAACTTCTTTGCAGTTCTTTATTATTGCCTAAATAAAATAGATTTGCTGGGGAGGAGAGAAGGGATCTAAGACTGCTTGGGGTGAAAATAGGAGCCACTCTTTCTGGCGTTTCCTTGCTGGAGTCTCTGGGAAATTGAGACTAAATGCCATCAAAAGTGAAAAGGATCAGATAATGCTGCTGGTTCTCCAGAGCAAAAAAATACACTCTAGGAGCCAAGGATGCCCCAGATAGAGATAAGATATGCAGCAAAGATAGATCCAGCTTAGAGATGTCCATCTATTGATACATCCAGGATAGACAGATATCTGGGTTGCTGAGAGTTTTCTATGTTTGGGAAGCATTCTCTCCTGACGTTTTGCCTACATCTATGGCAAGCATCCTCAGAGGTTGTGAGGTCTGTTGGCAACTAGGCAAGTAGGGTTTATATATCTGTGGAATGTCCAGAGGGGGAGAAAGAACCTTTGGCTGTTTGAGGCAAGTGTGACTGCTGCAATTGATCACCTTGATTAGCACCAAATGGTCTTGCAGCTTCAAAGATTGGCTGTTTTCTGCCTGGGAGAATCCTTTGTTGGGAGGTGTTGTGACTCTAAGAGAAATAACTCTTCTGTGTTTGAGGCAATTTCACCTTGATTAGCACTGAATGCCCTTGCAGCTTCAAAGCTTGGCTGCTTCCTGCCTGGGGGAGTCCTTTGTTGGGAGGTGCTGTGACTCTAAGAAAAAAGAACTCTGGTCTGTTTGAGGCAAGTGTGACTGCTGTCATTGATCACCTTGATTAGCACTAAATGGCCTTACAGCTTCAAAGCTTGGCTGCTTCCTCCCTGGGGGAATCCTTTGTTGAGAGGTGCTGCGACTCTAAGAGAAAGAACTCTGGTCTATTTGAGGCAATTGATCACCTTGATTAGCACTGAATGCCCTTGCAACTTCAAAGCTTGGCTGCTTCCTGCCCGGGGAATCCTTTGTTGGGAGGTGCTGTGACTCTAAGATAAAGAACTCTGGTCTGTTTGAGGCAAGTGTGACTGCTGCCATTGATCACCTTGATTAGCACCGAATGGTCTTGCAGCTTCAAAGCTTGGCTGTTTCCTGCCTGGAGGAATCCTTTGTTGGGAGTTTCTGTGACTCTAAGAGAAAGAACTCTTCTGTATTTGAGGCAATTTCACCTTGATTAGCACTGAATGCCCTTGCAGCTTCAAAGCTTGGCTGCTTCCTGCCTGGGGGAATCCTTTGTTGGGAGGTTTTGTGATTCTAACCCTTGTCTATTTGAGGCAAGTGTGACTGTTGCAATTGATCGCCTTGATTAACATTGAATAAATAGCCTTGCAGCTTCAAGACTTGGCTACTGAGATATTGAGATTGATACATTATATATCTACCTATGCTGGAGGTAGACGGGAAAGACCCGGTCCCTCCACGGACGAGCGTGGATTCCTCTCGCATTCCGGCAGTTCTTCATCAGGAACTTCTTTTCCCCCTCCTTCCTTCCCTGCCTCCTTCCCTCTCTCCTTCCTTCTCCTCCCTGAGGCTCAACAGCCTCCCTTTTTCCCCAGACCCTACACAGCGCCGAGGAGAATGAAACCGCCCGCCATTGGCTGCGCCCGCGTTCCAAGGAGGCGCCCGCTCCTTCCGATTGGCTAAGGCGCGCCGCCCTATTCGCCTGCCTCGTTCTTTTTCCCCCGACACATGATTATCCCTCCTCTTACTCCGGGCTCTCACCCACCCACCGACCCGCTCCTTTGCTCGCTCGCTCGCTCGCCTCCGCCTTCTTCTTCTTCTTCTTTCCTCCCCCCTCCCTTCCTCCTTCCCTTCTTCTCCTCCTTCTCCTTTTCCCCGCCTGCACCCGCTCAGTCGCTATATATACCGCGGCGTTGCAAACGGGGCTGAGCAGAGGCGGTTGGGGTTGGGAAGGGAGGAAAGAGGAGAAACTCATCAGCTGGGATATTCTCATTGTCATCCTTCTTTTTGTATTGTTGTCTATTATTGAATTTTTTTCCCCTCAACCCCTCCTATTTTGTTGATTCCCTTGCCGTTGCGAGGTGGGCTTTGGGGAGGGAAGCCTCGCTCTCGGTGTCTTTCTTTGGGGGTACCATGAAGGCGGTGAGTCCGGTCCGGCACCCGAATAGGAAGGCGCTGGCCAGCGGCTGCTGTTGTGGAGGAGGAGGCGGAGGAGGAGGAGGAGGAGGCAGCGATGGAGGAGGAGGAGGAGGAGGAGGAAGCGATCTTCCTTTGGGTTTCCTCTCCGATCCGGGCTGCTTGAAAGGAAGCCCCTCGCTGCTGGGCGAAGCGGAGGAGCCGGCCGCGCTGTGCCTCCAGTGCGACATGAATGACTGCTACAGCCGCCTCCGGAAGCTGGTGCCCACCATCCCGCCCCACAAGCGGGTCAGCAAAGTGGAGATCCTCCAGCACGTCATCGACTACATCCTCGACCTGCAGCTCGCCCTCGAGACGCACCCGGCCCTCCTCCGGCAACAGCAGCAGCAGCAGCAGCCGGCCCCCCAGCAACAGCAGCCACCCCCGCCGCCCCACCAAGCGCCCAGGACCCCGCTCACCGCCCTCAACGTCGACCCGGTAAGAGAGCGCGCTTGCCCTCCTCCCCTCCCCACTCAGGGCTCCCTCCTGGGGCAGGGCAGGAGGAAGAGGGCGCCCCCCCCCCACAAGCCCAGCCTTGCCCTCCTTCCCTCCCAGGTTTGGCCATCCCGCGACCTGTTCAGCCTCCCGAGATGCCTGGATTCCCCGCTCTGGTCCAGGCGAAGCCGCCTTTCTTCCACTCATTTCTGCAATCAGTACCGTCAACACAGGAAAGATAGAGATAGTTAGAGATAGACATACACACATCCATATGCTAGCTTTTCTACCTGGTGTTGTCCAGGGATGCAGTTCGGAATGCTGATTATTAGAAATACTCATTGTTAGCTTTAGATAGAGATATACATACACACATTCTCCCCCCCTCTCTCTCACATACACACACACATTTATACTAGTTTTTATACTTGGAGGTGTCCAGGGATGCATTTGCGATTGCTACTCCTTAGCAATATACATACATACATACATACATACTCTCTCTTTCTCTTCCCTCTTCCCCTTCTCTCACACACATATTTATTTATACTAGTTTTTGTACCTGAAGGTGTCCAGGGATGCATTTGCGACTGCTACTTCTTGGCAATACACATTTTTAGCTTTAGATATATGTATACACACATTCTCTCTCTCTCTCTCTCACACACACACACACACACACATTTATACTAATTTTTATATCTTGAGGTGTCCAGGAATGCATTTGCAACTGCTCATTCTTAACAATACTCATTCTTAGCTTTAGATATATGCATACACACATTCTCTCTCTCTTTCTCTCTCTCTCTTACACACACACACACACACATTTATACTAATTTTTTATATCTTGAGGTGTCCAGGAATGCATTTGCAACTGCTCATTCTTAACAATACTCATTCTTAGCTTTAGATATATGCATACACACATTCTCTCTCTCTTTCTCTCTCTCACACACACACACACACACACACACACACTTATTGATATTAGTTTCTGTACCTGGTGGTGTCCCGGGATGCATTTGCGACTGTTACTCCTTAGCAATATACATACTTACATACATACATTCTCTCTCTCTCTTCCCCCTCCCCCCTCTCTCTCACACACCTATTTATTTATATTAGTTTTTGTACCTGGAGGTCTCCAGGGATGCATTTGCAACTGCTAATTCTTAACAATACTCATTTTTAGCTTTAGATATATGCATACACACATTCTCTCTCTCTGTCCCTCCCCCCCCCTCTCTCACACACACACATTGCTACTAGTTTTTATACCTTGAGGTGTCCAGGGATGCCTTTGCAACTGCTAAATCTTAGCAGTACTCATTTTTAGCTTTAGATAGAGGTATACATACACACATTCATTCTCTCTCTCTCTCTCTCTCTCTCACGCACACACATTTTTGAATGCTAATTCTTAGCAATACTCATTGTTAGCTTTAAATAGAAATATACAAACCACATTCTCTCTCTCACGCACTCATACATATATACTAGCTTTTATACCTGCCATTATCCAGGGATGCATTTTTGACTGCTAATTATTAGAAATATTCATTGTTAACTTTAGATAGATAAATACATACATACATCCTCTCTCACTTTCTCTCTCACACACATATATATTAGCTTTTGTCGAGGGATGCATTTTCAACTGCTAATTATTAGAAATACCACTAAATGTATTGTCAAAGGCTTTCATGGCCAGAATCACTGGGTAGTTGTGAGTTTTCCGGGCTGTATGGCCATGTTCCAGAAGCATTCTCTCCTGATGTTTTGCCTGCACCTGTGGCAGGCATCCTCAGAGGTTGTGAGGTTTCGCCATAGATACAGGCGAAATGTATCTTTTGGAACATGGCCATACAGCCCAGAAAACTCACAACAACCCATTCATTGTTAACTTTAGATAGATATATACATACATACATTATCTCTCTCTCTCTCTCTCTCTCTCTCACACACACACACACACACACACACATTAGCTTCTATATCTGCTTTTGTTCAGGGATACATTTTCAACTGCTAATTCTTGGCAATACTCATTGTTATCTTTAAGAATAGATTGATTTGCAAGGTGAATGAAGAAAAAAATCCACAATTTGTTTAGTTTCACAGAGAATGTTTTTCACCCTACTGCCTTGCAGGTTTGGCCAGCTTCAATCGAATCCTGACCCAACCGCTCATCGCATTTTCATAACCGGGGCCCTAGGTTTTCTTTTTAAGTTTAAACCTCTCCAGCGTTTTGATTTGGATCATGTGTCCCATGTTTCAATCCAGATTAATTGGGCCATAGAGAAGCCCTTGAGGTACAGACATACACACATATGTTCACTTTTATTCACATAGATTTTAAAAAACACCCACGATACTAAGATGCTGTTTTAAAAAAGATGTGATGACCTGTGTCTTAGAATTGAAGAAATACAGTAATTCACCCGCCACCCCCTCTTCCCTCCCTGACTCCACCCGTCTCCAAGACAAACCTTCAAACGGTTCAGCAGGTGAACTATGGATCCGGTGCTATAGGGTGCATCTTTGCTATAGAATTAATAATGCTACTTGGCAACACTTTCACTGCCCTGGCTTGATGCTATGGGACCCTGGGAATTGTAGTTTGCTTTTCCTTTTTTATTAAATATGCACATGGTGTGTATCAGAAAACAGAGGGGTTCCAGACAGTGGAGTTCCAGACAGTGAACTAACACCTCACTACAAAGGATTCCCTCAGGCAAGAAGCACTCAGACCTTGAAGCTGAAAGGCTATTCAATGCTAATCAAGGTGGCCAGTTGCAACATTCACACCTGCCTGAAGCAGATAAGAGTTCTTTCCCCCACCCTATACATCCCACAGATATATAAACCTCACTTGCCTAGTTTCCAACAGACCTCACAACCTCTGAGGATGTCTGCCACAGGTATAGGTGAAACATCAGGGGAGAATGCTTCTGAAACATGGCCATACAGCCCCAAAAACTCATGGCAACCCAGTGATTCTGGCCATTAAAGCCTTTGACAACACATGTACTTTGTATGTCACAACACAGTCACAAATCATACTTTAAAATTCCTCGTTATCCCCTCCGATTCACAGGACTTATGAGGCTCCAGTATTTTTTGGAAGAGAGGGCTTAAAGACCTTGTAAAACTGCAACTCCATGATTCCATAGCATTGAGCCAGAGCAGTTAATGTGCTGTCAAAATGTGTAGTCTAGATGCACCTCTTGTCTACAGGATCAGACCGTAATTCCCTTGCTCAGCTTTTCATCCCCGATTCCACCTGTCCCCAGCCAAACCTTCTCCTCTTCTTTGGTCCCTCTGTTTTATGCAGAGACTTCTAAAATGACCTACCATGGCTGTCCTAATGCTTGGGGGCACCACTTGATCTGGTCTCTCTGGAAGGGAAGCTTCCCAAAATCCAATAATATGGGTTAATTGGTTGGAGGGTTGCAAGGCGGCCTCGATATTACATTCCAGGTGAAATGGGTCTCCTTGTGTGGCTGTGCAAGCATGAACACAGGCACATACCTACACACTCTTAATACCTTATAGGATGCAATGGCATGTCTATAGGTTGCTATGCTTTGCCATTCGGTCAACTATATCTGCATGAGCATTCTTGAATGAGCAGTGTGCAGCAAAACATAATAATAGATAATAATTTAATAATATATCTAGCATTGTATGTACAGCTCTTATCCATATGTATATGCCTTATAGGGAGGCAATTTTTATTTATTTCACAGGGATTATTTCCCCCCACAATTGCCCTGGACTAGCAAGGGAGGGCTACTTAAATAGCAGCCATTTTCAGGTGTAGCCAGTATGGATACAATTGAGTATTGGCATATAGATCCACAGTACATCACACTGTTGATCTGGACTGGCACACCTTTGGAAATAGTCAGTTCATTGGTGACTAGAGCTGGATTGGGATCAGTGTCTTTAGAACTAAACTAGGAGCATTGAGGGGCCAGACAAACACATGTAGATGGCAATTGTTTCAACAAAGGCTCCACAGTATGTGGGAGTGGAGTGTATCCTCTTCCCCATCCACCATCCCCTGTAGTAAAAATATGCTCAGAGAAAGCATCCATGTGGCAGGTATTGATTGAAACAGTTCTGTGGAGAGCCCCAGATTTTCATAACACAGCCACTATTGCTTGGTTGTACTGCCCGGGGGGAAGTATGTGACCCTCGGCTGCCATTGGTAGTCCCTGTGGGGGTATGAAGCAAAAGGTTACCACACCTGACAGCATGCCGCCTGCCACTAATGATTAGCCGGGGACAGACTTTCTAGAGAAACAGGTCTCATTCCTCCAGCTTCCTTTGTCCCAGTGTGTCTAGAGAAGCTTGGACAATGAAGGTTTTCTGTTTTTCCTGCCCAAGTCTCTCATATACACCACCTCTAATGTGCCACTCTTGTTTCTGCTGTTCTTTTGCAGGCTGGCGCTGTGAATAAGCAAGGGGACAGTATTCTGTGCCGCTGAACTGCATTTCCAAGGTGAGTATTCTCTCTTTGGTGTGTTAGCAGAGCTGGGAACATAGTGTCTCTGCTGTTTTATACCAGCATCTTTGGTAGAGAATCTCTTTAACCCGGGACTGTAACCCCTAACTATATTTATTGTTCAAAACAGTGGCGCTTACATGTGAGCTAATGTAGTTGGGATCAGGCTAGAGTCCTTTTTCCTAAGCCTTTGGGTGCTCCAGTTCTTCAGTGCACTTACTGGAAATTAAGTATGATTGAAATCAGGAGAAAAGTCTGTGCCAAAAATGTGCATCGAAATTAGCATGCTAGGCTGCAACCCCCACCCACTAACTCAGTTAGCATACTTTGATCTAAATCAGTGTAATCCCATTGCTTTCAATTCCGAGTTGCATAGCGTAATAGTTTTGTGACTTGGCATGGTGTGCAGTGTTTAATCATATTTTCTGCTTAATTTTAGACATTAAAGGGGCAAGTCGGTCTGAATGCGTTTATTCTAAATTTATATATTTGAAAGGATTGATTTAGATTGAACCCTAGATTAAACCAAGCCTTGCCATTTGTTACAGCCAGGGACAAATATTACTACTACTACTACTACTACTACTAATAATAATAATAATAATAGATTGAACTGCAAAGACTCTAGCACAAGCCAGTAAAGCTGGTCCCAGTGGTGATTGGCACACTGGGTGCAGTACCTAAAGACCTTGGTCTGCACTTAAAAACAATCAGCGCTGACAAAATCACCATCTGTCAGCTGCAAAAGACCACCCTTCTCAGATCTACATGCATTATTTGCCGATACATCACACAGTCCTAGAAACTTGGGAATTGTCTAGGATCATAATAATAATAATAATAATAATAATAATAATAATAATAATAATAATAATATCAAACTGCAAAGACTCTGGCACAAACCAGTAAAGGTGGTCCCAGTGGTGATCGGCACACTGGGTGCAGTGTCTAAAGACTTAAAAACAATCGGCGTTGTCAAAATTACCATCTGTCAGCTGCAAAAGGCCACCCTACTCAGATCTGTATGCATTATTTGCCGATACATCACATAGTCCTAGACACTCAGGAAGTGTCCAGTGTGTGATCCAATACCAAAACCAGCATAGTGATCTTGTTTGCTGTGTACTAATTTTGTTGTCTATCAAATAATAATAATAATTACAACAATTTATTTGTAGTCCTCCTTATCTCCCCAAAGGGACTCGGGGTGGATTCCAACATGTATGGCAAATATTCAGTGCCAAAAAGGGGGAAAACATTCAAACAGAATTACATCAGGACAAACAACCAAATACAAAGGAAGCAGAACACTTGTGTCACATTGTTTGAGTTGGAAAAAGAAATGAGCCATTCATTCTGAACTGTAATGGCATTTCTTTGGCTCACAGATCAGTAGATTCCTTAGTATGTTTCTGAGGTGTTGCTTTGCTTTTCTCCAAATACAAAGAAAAAAATGCATTACGGAAACTATGTCGGTTTGCTTACACCGCTTTTTCTTTGGCAACACAGCTGTCATCTTTACCCATTTCCTGGGAAGCAAACTGTTTAAGATGATGTTTGTAGAACTGGGGTGCAAAATGCCTCCACATCCCATGCTCAATCTGTAGGAATAGAGCTGGAGGAAGGAGACGTCAGGAGGGCGCTTCCACAGTCGCCTTTGCTCCCATTCTCTCTGGCTTGGGCTTGCAGCTGTGTATGCCTCTGCTTGGCCTAGCCTGGGAGCTGCGGTTGTTGTTTGACCTGGTTTGTTTTGGGTTGTTGATCAAGCATGTCTTCTGTTTTGTTGGTGGCGCCAGTCAGTCTGGAGCAGAATGGTTCACACCCCCCTTCTATTCATTCCTCTTCCACAGGTGTGCGGCAGGCAAATCCTGAGCCAGAGAAGCAGAAAGAAAGAAAGACACATTAGAGAGGGAGGGAGGAAAAGAAAGAAAGAAAGAAAAAAAAGAAAAGAAAAGAAATATCAGCCACTGGGCAAAAAGGAAAAAAAATCAACTACTCCAGAATTCTTTCCATACTTCCTTTAGAGAGAAAGAGAGGAGAAATTTTCACGACTTTGCACGTTCATAGCATTTTACACACGTTTCTTAATTCTTTTGAGTTTTTTTTCTGTTTAGATCAGATGTGAATTGTATTCTTGTCTGGGAGGGAGGGGGTTGAAACTCTTCAGCATCCATGTGGCTCTTCTGTTGGATAGAGAAGATCAAGGACACACGGGGAGGGTAGAAGTCTTAACTTTTAATGTGCTGAGCAGCTGAAATCTGAAGCTTTACTAATCTACCAGAGGCATTGTAGATAACTTTTGTTTGGACATCTATTGTTTAAAATAGATGCTTTTATTGTTTCCTCGGGGACTTTCTTCTCCCTGAAGGAATGTTACATATTGTATAGATTATGAGAAGAAGAAAAAAGAAGAAGAAAAGGAAAAAAGTGACATTTCATACTATGTATATACAGAGAGGTTCTATAAGTGTAAGTGAGAAAAGTATATGCTTTAATAGACCTACTGTAATTATAAAATATTTTTAATTAAATATTTTTTTGTAAATATTCTAAAGCTGTGTATGTTTTCTTTGGAAATCTGTGGGAATACTTTAGGAAGGATTGTTTTATGGCTCAAGTGCAGAACTGCTGTCAATGAGGATATATTGGATGCTGAGGGATGTCTCTGATGGACGTTGGTTCCACCCGTCCCTCCTCACTCCCTTTTCGATTTGGAAGCTACAGCTGTAGGTAGAGTTGAGTCAGTTCCTGCATGAATGCATGCAATATCTAACCACAAATAAACTTGTTCTATCCATACCAATGTGGGTTTATCCCCCTCTTTGAATTCAAATTGAAAATATGTTTGTAGCATACAATTTTGGAACAACTTTTTTGTCTGTTGGGCACTGAGGTTTATATTACAGAATATGCGAAACAGCATTGAGATGTCAGAAATTTATTTGTTATGTACTGAGATTACTACTTTTTTCCAAAATGGGTACAGTGCTGAGGGATAATGAACATTTATTTTCTAAGAAATGTTACCGAAAATTATCACAAAACATTGACCACTTTTGTAACACCAAGGGGATGCTGGACCCCAGATTTTAGCCCTGTGGCATATTACCTTGGAAAAACAGTAAAAAAAAGTTTTCTGCTTCTAACCAAAGGGCAAACTATCAACAAATGTACAGTCACTGTTTCATCCAAAGACTATTGATACTGAAACATGGAGGGTAGGGAGGGATAACAGGGAAAATTTCAGTCTGATTACTGGTGTAAGTCCATTTCAAAGAACTTACATAGACCAAAAACAAAATCAGATGACTGTATCAAAATTATTTTTCTAATATACAACAGTCTTCATTTCATTACAACTCTGTTACATCTATAAATCCTGTTCAGTCTCTGTTATGTGTAACTTCTACATGTAAACATTAAACTAGATTGACGTGCTTTGTGCTGTGATTCTCTTCTTTCTTCCTTCCTCCAATACTTTCAGAGCTTTCTGCTTAACTTTCCTTCTGCATGTTGCCTAAGGGTTAATCTGATCACAACAGTTTGCATAACATGGTTCCACCTTCCATCCAGACAACCTAGAAAAAAAATGCTCATTTCTTATAGTGAGTCCACAGTCTTGTGAAAAGGGATTTTTCTTAAAGTGAGTGCATTAGGTAAGATTTAATTGTGTTTCCTAGACAACCAACTACATGTGTAAAGGTAAAAGTTTCCTCTTGACATTAAGTTGAGTTATGTCCAACTCTGAGGGGAGGGGGGGTGCTCATCTCCATTTCTAAGCCGAAGAGCTGACATTGTCCGTAGACACCTCCAAAGTCCATGAATGCATGGAGCGTCGTTACCTTCCTGCCAGAGCAGTACCTATTGATCTACTCACATTTGCATGTTTTCAAACAGATAGGTTGGCAGAATCTGGGGCTAAGAGCAGGAGCTCACCCCACTCCCTGGATTTGAACCACCGACCTTTCAGTCAGCAAGTTCAGCTCAGCGGTTTAACTCGCTGTGCCACCGGGGGCTCCATGTCTAGCAAGTTCTATTTGACTTGCAGTCTGTCTATGGGAGGACTTTTAAAAGTTTCCAAGTACTTTGGGATAAGTGATCATCATTCCAATTATGTTAAATTTTATAAGGAAATAACATATTTATAGAGGCGGCAAATGTTGTCAAGATAGCTATTTTCTTACCAAACAGTATGCTACTAAGATACAGTGAGCCAAAACCATAGCATAAAAAGGCAAATATGGGGCATTGTAGTCTCACAGTCATTATTTTTAATCTGGTGAATGGAGGTCATTCAGGTAAAACTCTGAAAAAGACACCTGAGCTGAAATGTCTCTTAGTCGAGCCTGATTATCTTTAATGAACCAGAATAGCAGCTCTTTCATAAAGCAATCATTCTTGGAAACAAGGAAACCGAAATGACTGATGAAAGCCGACTTTCAGGAAGAGGTCGAGTTCATGTTGTCCTTTCTTACTTGCAAATAGGAAAGAAAAAGACTTCTGCTGGAGGCAGAGTTCACATATTTATGACAAGCTGGAATGTGTCCAGAGGAGTACAACTAAAATGATCAAGGAGCTGGAGAACAAGCCCTATGAGGAGTGGCTTAAAGAGCAGGGCATGTTTAGCCTGTAGAAGATAAGACTGAGAGGAGACACAATGAGGGAGGCCATTTATAAATATGTGAGGCGAAGTCATAGGGAGGAAGGAGCAAGCTTGTTTTCTGCTGCTCTAGAGACTAGGCCGTGAAACAATGGCTTCAAACCACAGGAAAGGAGATTCCACCTGAACATTAGGAAGAACTTCCTAACAGTGAGAACTGTTCAGTGGTGGAACTCTCTGCCCCAGAATATGGTGGAGTCTCCTTCTTTGGAGGCTTTTAAACAGAGGCTGGATGCCCAACTATCGAGGGTGCTTTGAATGCAATTTTCCTGCTTCTTGGAAGGGGGTTGGACTGGATCGCCAGGAGGATACTTCCAACTCTATGATTCTAAGCTTGAATTGGTTAAGGCAAAAGAATGGCACTTGCTTTCATGTCAGGGAGTCTTGGGTATTTTCACATAAGGAACAGACAGAGATATTCAGCAATGTCTTAGCCTGCTTAAAATTGTATTATTGTCGTTATTGTTCCTCTTTCTAAGGATTAATGAAAAAGAGCCCAATTAGTACACAGAGTTATAGAGAGTGGGACTGGAAAAAAATCTTTCCTGTCTTTTGCTTGTTGTCCTGGAACCACTTTCAGGACATTCCTGCTTAGTTTGGGAAGCCATTTAACAGCATTTACACAAATGACACTAACATTGTGGTATAGTGAGCAAAAGGAAGTTTTTGTGTTTTAAAAATGCATGTCAGTGTCTCCACATCCTTTTGACTGATCCATGTACTGACTGCAAGAAGTACAAGAAAGATGGGAAAAGATGCCAGTGGGGCTCTTTAAAATGACCTTGCTCTCTCTCTAAACTATTTCCACTCTCATTAGTTTCAATTAAAAGGACTCCTTCTGAAGTGATCTAGTACTGTCAGAGAACTGAAAGCTACCTTCTGTGCTGCTGACTGTTCAGTTCGATGGTTATCATTCCTTGCATAGTGACATTGAAAAGCAAGTACATCCTTGTAAATGGGAGAGAGGTTTGGTTACACAGCAAAAGCCAGGCAAGTCCGCCTATGAAAGCCGAAACTCCAGTTGCGCCGTGAAAAAGCAGTGAAACATGTATCAGTAGCTGAAATTTGCAGAAAAGAAAAAAGAAAAGAAAGAAAAGAAAAGGGAAAAAGAGCATCTTGACAAGACACTTTTCAAAGCAGTTTATTATGAGCCTCTTTTGCTGTTTTGCAGAGAAGACTCATTTAGTTAATCACTCCAAGTGATTTTGTGTTGTCGAAGGCTTTCATGAATGGAATCACTGGGTTGCTGTGAGTTTTCCGGGCTGTATGGCTATGTTCCAGAAGCATTCTCTCCTGATAGAATGGTTCAGCGTTTCAGTGTAGAGCCTAAACACGAATCAAAGAACATGAAAGGCACTGCAGAATAATTCAGCTAGAGAATTCAGCCATAGCAGAGCACCTGATGAACCAACCTGGGCACATCATATTATTTGAGAACACAGAAATGCTGGACCACTGTTAACAACTACCATGTCAGACTATAAAGCCACTGAAATCCACAAGCATGTGGACAATTTCAACAAAAAGGAAGAAACCATAAAAAATGAACAAAATCTGGCTACCAGTATTAAAAAAGTCTAAAATCAGAACAGTAAATAAAGAGCAACACTCAAAATGCAGTGGAATTCCAGACAAGACTAAATCAGGGCCAGCTTACACCTCCCAACAAAGGATTCCCTCAGGCAGCAACTAGTCAGGTCTTGAAACTGCAGGCTATTAAATTCTAATCAAGGTGACAAATTGCAACATTCACACTTGCCTCAAGCAGACAAGAGTTCTTTCTCCCACCCTGGACATTCCACAGATATATAAACCTCACTTGCCTAGTTTCCAACAGACCCCTCACCCTCTGAGGATGCCTGCTATAGATGTGGGTCAAATGTCAGGAGAGAATGCTTCTGGAATATGGCCATACAGCCCGGAAAACTCACAGCAACCTGGTAAGTGGTTTTATTTCCCACTTTTCGTGTAACGGTTCTGGAGGATATGTGTTAAAAGAATAAGCCCTTCTAATATACATATCATTAATGTATAAGATTTGTTTTAAAAATGGCCACTGGTGTTGCATGAGATTAAAGAGGACAGATTTATCATACAAATATTTGCCCTCCAAGGTCCCTTTTGATGTATAGCTATATATATACTGTTCTTTCTCACCAAAACTGTGACTCAAGATAGTTAGTTAACAGTATTCCTTCAAGAAAGCAAAACATTTGTATCACATGTATGGAAGTAGTCCACATTACTGATTCTGATGATTTGAGCCTTGGGACCTTCAACAAGAAGAAGTGTAAGGTTCAGTGAGGAAACTTTGCTCTTCCAGATGTTTTGGACTTCACCTCCCAGATGGCCTGATCTAGAATCATCTATGATAAGGGATTATAGGAGTTGTAGTCCATTATCTCTGTAGAGTTAAAGATTGCCCATCCTTTAGGCAAAACGGAGAGTCATATGAGGTATTCCTACACAGGACTGTTTTCCCCCAGCAGGGGGTAGTATTGTGTAGCATCTGTTGCATTAGGACCAGCAACAAATACAATCATTCCAGAGAGGAAATAGGAAGTGATGTTGCTACAGCTTTGCACATAAGAAACATTAGGCAAATAACTACAGGGATACGATCTCGATTGATTTCATTACTTGGAGGAAGTTTGTGTGAAGAAGTGGAGGATGTCTTGAGCAATCACGGTTTCTTGCAGTGATTGCACCAGTTCTTGGAAAAACATGTAGCCTCCACACTGAAAATCAATAGATTTTAATCAGATCCTGTTTAGCAGAGATTGATCTTGAGCAGACACCTGGATCAATCCCCATACAACGCCTATGCTATGTTGATGTTTCCTTTCCGCTATGAAGGAGTTGGCCATTGGGATGGCTTGACAAATACATCTCTGAATTCCGCTATAAATCTTCTTCAACTTGAAAGGAAAATAATCAATACACATTTACTCTGACATAAAGCCCATTCATTTTACTGGGACTGACTTTCTATATCGTGTGGATAGGGTTGCAACTTTTACTTGAAGGGGTTTTGAAGGAGTCTTAAAATAAAAGGATTGCCATATGCTTTTGATTCTTGGATTCATAAAAAAAACAATGCAGGACAAGAGCATACAGGATAAAAAGGTCTGTCTCTTTGTAGTTTCAGCTACAAAGAAAGATGGTGAGGTATTACACACCCCATACAATGATACAGATGCAGAGGTGTTGATATCCAAATGTATGAAATGCTTACTTACATTTTGCTCACATTATTCCAACATACAGTTTGCACTGCAGGTGAATACTGGCAGAAAAACAATTGGATATATATTCTCCTGTGCTAGAATTGTACAGCCCTCATACTTGTATAATATATAAGGCACGGTACAAATTAAAATATTAAGCTTCTAACACTAACATGTAATTTTGGTTTAAAAGATCCACAAGAACTTGTTTGCTGGGATTTTTCCATATTGCTTTATTACACATTCCAAATGTCCACTTTATTTCTTTGTTTCACTCTCTCTGTTAATTGCTCTGCAAAATTATTTTTTTAAAAGATAACAAATAAATGCACAGTTTTCAAATGTTCATCAGTTAGTGTCTTGAAAATGATGTATATTTCCAGATACAACATGTTTCCATCACACATACATTGGACCCTCAGTATCCACTGATGCTTGGTTCCAGGATCCCCTGTGTCAAAATCCATGGATACTCGTCCCATTATATAATAATAATAATTATAATTATAATAATAATAATAATAATAATAATAAGAATAATAATTATTATTATTATTATTGTTATTATTATTATTATTATTTATAATTGCAGTGCAACAGACAAACACAGAATTATGTAAGTTTGAAACATGGAATGGCTTAGATGATACTGGAAAATGAGATTAACAGGAAGACATTTGGTTGTTATATGTTTTTAATGGTTTTTATATTATTTTTATAGTGTTGTTTTAAATGTTTAATTGTATATCATGGACTGTTATGGCATCAAATGGCTGCCAATTTGTAAGCCACCTTGAGTCACCTTTGGGCTTGAGAAAGGTGGGATAAAAATATTGTAAATAATAATAATAATAATAATAATAATAATAATAATAATAATAATAATAATTTTATTTGTGGTATTTGTATATCGCCTTTCTCAACCCCGAAGGGGACTCAGGGCAGTTCACAGTCTCACCATCATCTCCCTAAGGGACTCAAGTGGTGTACAAGACACTCCAGGGTGCACATATAACATACAACATGTAAAATGGTACAAAAATATAAAAGAAGTCACATAAAATTATAACAACACTCCCCACCAATATATGTAGCATAAAATCCAAGTAATATCATTTTAAAACAACAGTAGATAACAGTAGGTTAACTATAAATCCCAGCAACTACTACTCCCAAATGACAAAATCGATCCCCACCCCAACCTCACCATTATTCAAATGTGAGCGGATCGGGTGTTTGTGCCAAATTTGTTCCAATGAATGAAAATACATCCTGCATATCAGATATTTACATTATTATTCATAACAGTAGCAAAATTACAGTAATGAAGTAGCAGTGAAAATATCTTTATGGATGGGGGTCACCACAATATGAGAAACTGTATTAAGAGGTTGCAGCTTTGAATCTGATGCTTATCCTTTCCTCTACAAAAGACCTCTTTAACATATGAGGATAACTCTCACTAGAAGCAATTTGCCTTCATGCTTTATAGTGGAGCATCTTCTAAAGAAGGCAATTCAGATGACATCTGTTTGACAATGGAGTCTCCAAAGAACCAAGTGACCTGCATGATGCGTTATGAGTAGAGAAATTTTCAGTTCCAGCTTTTGACCCATGTGTGTACCAAAGGAAAATACATACAAATCAATGCACGGATGTTAGGGATACCAGTTTAACTGCTTTGAATGTTTCACTACACATATTTCTACACATAGTTAGTTAGCTGTCATTAGGGAAAGAGTATTTCAGTGTACATAATTTTCCCTGTGAAGCATCTTAAAACTATTGAATGAAAGCACCGAGAGTGCAAAAAGAAGAGGGGTACATTATTTGCATTTGAGACAGATTGTCCGTCATGACACATTTGCATTGATACAGATTTCCAAGAACATTTTCTACTTTGGAAGTGCTTCCAGATGAAGAATTCCTAGCACTGCTACTCAAACGGCATCGTGTAGTGAGATTCCATCTTTCCCTCATTAATTGATTCTTTTTTTTTCTGGTGAGAAAAAAAGATGGAAGAAGCAGGACAACGAGAGTTAGAAACTAAGGAAGACATCTGGGAACCCCTGAACAAAATTGTGCCATAAAAGCTTTATTTAGAAGCATCCTTGGTTTAATAAGCAGTGTGGGAAGACTTCACATTCTACATCATTTTACCATTCACGCCTAAGTAAAGCAAAAGCCATATTCTCAACCAGCCTCCACTGGTTCTCATTTTTAAAGGTATGGGCTTGAATTCTCTTCAATTCTATATAGACTGACAAACTTCTGACCCGAAAATATCTCCTGTACCTGTAATAGTTCTGCATGGAGGAGCAAACTGACTAATTATGCTGTGGTAACAGATGCTGCTCATTTTCTTTCTGCCATGCAGATATTGAAAGGACAGAAGAGCCCTACTAGAGCAGGTGGAGTACTGCTCAAGTAGCCTGCCTATCTTCTTTCCTATCTTCTTTCCTATTTTCCTCTCTATCTTCCTTCCCTCCCTCCCTCTCTCTTTTCCCTCCTTCCCTCCTTCTTTCCTTCCTTCGCTCATGCTTTCTTTCCATCTTTCGTATCTATCTAGCTATCCGTTTGTCTATTTTTGTATCATGCATTTCTTATAAGTCCTGGTGTACATTGTACTCCATTGTTTTACATGGGGCTCCTCTCCTCTTTCTCCTAACACAGTAACACAGATGTCACTACTGCACACGTCATTATCATATGTCTGGTCACCTCTGCGCTTTGCTACTCTACTGCTGAATACACATGCCCAGTGTGGAACACATCTCACCATGCTAAAACAATGGATGTGGCTCTTAATGAGACATTCCACATTATCACAGGCTGTCTGCACCCTACAGCACTGGAAAAATTGCACTGTATAGCCCAGGCATCCTCAAACAGTGGCCCTTCAGCTGTTTGGACCTCCAACTCCCAGAAGTCCTAATGAGCTTGTTCAATTGTCAGGAATTCAGGGAATTATAGGCCCAAACAGCTGGAGGGCCACAGTTTGAGGATGCCTTGTCTAGCCGGTACTGCACCATCTGACATCCACTGGGAAGTAGCAGTCAATAATGAAAGGACTAAGGCAGTGACATCTCTGGCCCATCTTCTGTTCAGATATCAGCCAGCACACCAATGTCTTAAATCAAGATTTAAGATTTACAGAGACACTCACAGGAACACTTCAGTAAGCAAGAGTCCAAAAGTGGCAGGCTAAAACCTAGCACCTCAATCCATGGCTGATAACAAATGAGAGACTCCTTCATGGGCACACAGAAGACTGGGCAACTTGGAAGGTGCTGAACAGACTGCACTCTGGCACCACAAGATGCAGAGCCAACCTTTAAAAAATATATTTCTATGTTTTTATTATTCTTATAAAACAATTATACATAACCATAATTATTGTGCATTTTGTCCTTCTATATTCCCTTCTCTTCCCCACATCCACCCTCCCTCTTCCCTGTTAACAATATAATCCTTCCCCCCCCCCCCTATTACATGAGCCTTCTTTCGATTATATCCAGTTTTTTCTTCCAGCTTTCATCATCTGGTTTAACTACCGAAGCCATCTTTTAAATAGAGTCCAAATTCTTTAATTTTCTTCTGTTTGTCTGACAATGTCTTTTTGCTTCTTATGATGTCCATAATATCCAGTTGTATTTGGTCCCACACATATTCATACCATTTTTCAAGTGTCCATTTCTTTTTTTTTCTTTCCAACCCCAAGCTATTCCTGCATGTGCTGCTCTAAACATCATCATCATATGCAAAGCCAACCTTAAGAAATGGGGTCATAAAGTGGAGTCCACGACATGCGAGTGTGGAGAAGAACAAACCACAGACCACATATTACAATGCAGCCTGAGCCCTGCCACATGCACAATGGAGGACCTTCTTATAGCAACACCAGAGGCACTCCAAGTGGCCAGCTACTGGTCAAAGGACATTTAATATAATGCCAAGTTGTTAAACTTCATGTTTTTTCAGATATATCACAACTGTACCCTTGGTTTGCTCCTGATATGATAAATAAATAAATGATCATACTGGTAATATGACAACTGTAAAACACCTAACATAGGATGGGTTTGGGGAGAGTGATCCATGAATGACTGAAAATAATAGACATTTGCTCTAAGCATTGAATTTAGTTGCAATCAATATGTCCCTCCTCATAACTGCTTATATTGTTGCATTTTACCCAACCCTGTTCTACAAGAATCTCACCTAAATGTGAAAGTTACTATTATAACATATGTGGTGCCGTTTGGTGGCTCCAATGCCCGTGTAGTGATGAATCATCTCCAGATTTTAACCTGAATTTAAAAGGAACTGTCCAAAGTGCTGAAGTCTAATCTAGCTGTCTGTTACTTCAAAGGTCCAGGACACTGGGCAGTTACTTTAAAATTCAAACAAAAAAAGCAGACCAGATACAGCAGTGACAAATAACCTGTGACCCTCCAGGTGTTTTGGACTTCAACTCCTAGAATTCTGGACCATTGGACAAGATGGCTAGGACTTCTGGGAGTTGAAATCCCAAGCATTGGGGAGACACAGGTTGTGCACCACTGGTAAGAGGTTGTGCACCACCGTAACATTAGCGCCATCAACTGCTCATGGATTCATGGAAGAGTAATTGTCACTCCATCGGGTCGGGGATCAGCAGACATTGTACGTAAATGAGAAAAATGTAGTGTTACATGTTACAGGAAAGTGGGAGGAATATGTCATTAGATTATATACAAGACTGATTGACATACAAAATTACACTCTTGTAAGATTTGCTACAAATCCTTCTAGACATCAGAAACAGCAATGAGTGAACTGCTTCATGTAAATTTGGAATCTGCTTGGCATTTCTCAGAGGCTATTTTGAGGGAAATACATCTGTTCACTCTTGATTTGTTATGCTGCAGTATCTACTCACAGTGCCATATTTTATTGTACAGGAACAGAACTTTGGTTTGACCCATTACTAAGGGGTGATAATTGTGAATCATATTGGACCCTACCTGCTAATCATGTTAGAGAGTTATTCTCTCAACTTCTGTGTTAGTGGAGCTTCAAATTAAGGCTATGAAAAAGCAAGACACTTAAACCCTGTTCCCAAAACAGGTTCAGCACTGGATAATTCCTTGAAAAATTAAAACCTATAGTGGATTCAGTGACTTAATCAGAGAGAAGCTATCAGCCTCAACTATTCTCCCCCAAATGACATACCCAAGAATAAGAAGACCCTTTAGATCTCGGCCAGGAACTTTTCTGTGGCATGTCTTTAAGTCATTTTGACTTATGGAGACCCTAAGGAAAACCTGTAGCAGGCTTTTCTCATCAGTTAGTTTAGAGAGGATTTGCCATTTTCTTCCTTTGAGGTTGAGAGAGTGTGACTTGCCCCAAGGTCACCCAGTGGGTTTTCATGGCTGTGAGAGAATTTAGACACTGTTCTCCAGCGGCATTATCCAATTCTCTAACCACTATGCCACTCTGGCTCCAAAAAACAGATTCTAAAACATTCTAAAATAAACCAAAGCAATGTCCTTCAAAACCAGTTCTTTTAAAAACATGCTTCAAATATGGTAGCCAGGGGAGCTTTTGCACAATTAAAACTTGTGCACCAGTTGCGTCCATACCTTGAGAAATCAGACTGTGTGATGTATTGGCAAATAATGCATGCAGATCCCTGTAGGGTGGCCTTTTGCTGCTGACAGATGGTAATTTCGTCAATGCCAATTGTGTTTAAGTGCAGGCCAAGGTCTTTAGGCACTGCATCTAGTGTGCCGATCAACACTGGGACCACCATTACTAGCTTGTGCCAGAGTCTTTGCAGTTCGATCTTTAAATCCTCATATTGTGGCAGCTTTTCCTGTTGTTGTTGTTATTTGATACATAACAAGATTAATACACAGCAAACAAGTTCACTATGCTGGCTTTTGTATTTGATCACATGTCGGATATTTCCCAAGTGGCTAGGACTGTGTGATGTATTGGCGAATAATGCATGCAGATCCGAGTAGGGTGGCCTTTTGCAGCTGACAGATGATAATTATGTCAGCGCTAACTGTTTTCAAGTGCTGGACAAGGTCTTTAGGAACTGTACCCAGTGTGCCAATGAGTCTTTGAAATAATAATAATAATAATAATTATTATTATTATTATTATTATTATTATTATTATTTGTATAGCCACAAAGGAGATTCAAAATGGCTTACATCAAAAGCATTTAATTACAATTTAAAATCTACAATGAACATGGCGAGAGTTTCTATATCCTAATTTTGGGACAATGTTCTTGCTCATTTGCAAATTAACATCTTTTTAACTGGCTTAGTTTGTTTAACTGAGAACATGATTCCCTAGCAGTTGATAAAAGCAATGCTTAGACAATTTTTACAATGCATCCCATTTACTTGAAGAGCGTAATGGCTCCTTCTGAGCCGTGTGTCATGTAAATAAGTATTTCAAACATTTTTAACATGCATATTATGTACTCCATAGATCAATGGTTTCTTTGAAGCATTTGCACTTTATCTTGTAAAGTCGCATTTAGACTTTTTAAAAGATGCATTATTTATTCAATAGGCTATCACTTCTTTCAGAGATTCTTCATTCTATCATCTAAATATGTATTTAGTCCATTTAAAGATAAATCTCTCTTTATGTCATCAACAGATTGGAAGAGCTCTTCTGAAAAAATTAATCAGGAGAAATGTACTCAAAGGCACCAAAAGCAGCCTGTAGCATAAACCAGACTGGCTTAAAAGAGAATATACAGAGTGTCCCAAAAATCATCACACATTAGGAAAATGGGAAATCCTAGTTTTTCAGTTTTTCAAATGTATGGTGACTTTTGGGGCACTCTTTATTACCATGTGCTGGTTCGGAACCTGTTTGGACTGCCAGAAAACCAAAACTAAATTAGAACCATCACATTAAAATATGCAGATACCATAAATGCATAAAAGGCATCTACAAGCAGACACGAGTCTGGAGATGGAACCTTGGTTTCAAGGGCACAAAACCATAATGGTTTTCTTCACCCTTTGGTATTATATATCAAAGCCCTCCCACCAATTGCATGGGATGTGCAAGAAGCACACTTGCAACCAAAGCAGCTGCAAATTCCTTGATTCTGATATATACAAATAAGTTGAAATAATTTTTGATAATCATTTTATTGCCTTTATTATCTTTCCTTCTATGGCATTGGAAAGGTGGACCTTTGACTACAAATTCTGGGACGACAGCTCTCATTATCCTTATCCTTGGCTGGGACTTCTGGGAGATGAAGCCCAAAACATCTGGAAGACCTCATGTTTTCCACCACTGCATTAAAGTAGGAGAGATGCAGATGCTATTTTCATGAGTCATACATATCATTCTACTTTCCTTCATATGGGTAAATTAACTTTACAGAACTTTGTCAGTGTCAATATCTAAAGGAAATAGGATGAGCTGGGATTAATTTTCTGGTGGTGAAGGTAGGTTCTAGTGCAGCATTTCTCAACCTGGGGGTCGCAAGGGGGTTTCAGTGGGGTTGCCAAAGACCATCAGAAAACACATATTTCTGGTGGTCTTAGGAACCCCTTTGGCAGAGAAGGCTAAAGATCTCTTCGTCTGTTCTTCTCTCCCTTTTTGGAAACAGACGGCGAATCCTCCCACCAGCCTCTCAGCCAAGGGGAGGACTGTTCCTGAGACATGAAGCAGGGAGGGGAGAACAGGCATGCTCGGTGCATGGCAGTGTAGTACACATGTGCAGGCAAGGGAGAGTGTGCGAGGTGGGAGGGAGGCTCTTCAAGGCATGGGGTTTCTGTGTGGAAAGTTTGGCCCAGTTCTATCACTGGTGGGGTTCAGCATGCTTTTTAATTGTAGGCGAACTATAAATTCCTGCAATTATAACACCCAAATGGCAAGGTGTATTTTCCCCAAACTCCACCTGTTCTCTGGATGTAGGTGAACTACAACTCTGAAACTCAAGGTCAATGACACCCAATCTTTCCAGTATTTGCTGTTAGTCATGGGAGTTCTGTGTGCCAAGTTTGGTTCAATTCCATAATTGGTGGAGTTCAGAATGCTCTTTGGTTGTAGGTTTACTATAAATCCCAGCAACTACAACTCCCAAATGACAAAATCAATCCCCCCAACCCCACTAGTATTCAAATGTGGGTGTATTGGGCATCCTGCATATCAGATATTTACATTAAAATTCATAACAGTAGCAAAATTACAGTTATGGAGTAGAAACGAAAATACATTTATGGTTGGAGATCGCCACAACATGAGGAACTGTATTAAGGGGTTGTGGCCATTAGGAAGGTTGAGAAACACTGTTCTAGTGGTAGTAGCTTCCAGGATAATTTATACTTTAAGACTTTGTTGGGACAAAATCTTGAAACTTGAAAAAAAAACTATAACAAAAATCCACAATCAGTTGCTAGAATGGGAAACCGAGACAGAGGGGGTGAAAGAGTGCATGGTTATATGGGCTAAAAACTTCGGCAGGGAAGTCAAGATCCAGGAATGGCAAAATATTTGGAGAAAAAAAATGAAATACACCTATTCTATGTCACTAAAAGAAAACTGGTTAAAATGTTTCCACAGGTGGCATCTCACACCGCAAAAACTGAGTTTAATGTATCGAGGATATAAAAACACCTGTTGGAAGTGTAAAACCAAAGTAGGAAGTTACTTCCACCTGTGGTGGACATGCCCTGTGGCTATGAAATTTTGGAAAGAAATAAAGGAAGAGTCTCAAAAAATCCTAAAAAAAGATATCCCTCTCAAACCAGAGATTTTCTTATTAGGACTAACAGAAAAAGACATGAAGTTAGAACAGAATGATGACAGAATTTTCACCTTTATCACGACGGCGGCAAGACTCACATTTGCTAAAAAATGGAAAGAAGAAGGGAGGCCCACTATAGAGCAGTGGCTAGAGAAATTAAGAGACATCAAAGATATGGACAAACTGACGTTCCATTTGAAGAAAGGGACAGGAAACCCACCATCCAAAACGAACTGGGACATGGTGGAAGAGTATGAGACGAAAAGAGAGA